CCACCCCACCCCGCCTTACCCCGCTCCGCCGCGGGCAGCTGCAGCTTCCGCAGCCCGCGGGCCGCGCTGCTGCTCCGCGGTGGGCGAGGCTTGCCGCCGGCCGAGGCGAGGGTGGGGCGCGCGGCGGGTTCATCTCGGCCAGTCGGCGCGCGGCTCGGTGCTCCGGAGCACGCACATCCAGTGCCTCCTCCACATGGACCACCAGGGCGGCGACGACGGCGCGCCCAAGAAGAAGAAGCAGGCGCGCGTGTACTACGGGCCGCCCGTCGAGCAGACCTACGTGGACGACGGCGACGACGACGATGACGGTACGGCCTGCGGCCTTGGCCCTGGTCGCCCGCGGAGGACTCGAGGAGGAGGCCCGCAAAACGGCTGAGGCCTTTCCAATTGTCGCCGACTTCCTAAAAGTGTTGTCACAGACTTTGGCGCGGTGTGTTATCACAGGCCCAATTGTGACGTTTGGAACTGCCTCCGCTAGAGTTTTTCGCGCCCATTCCCCTCATGAGGACGTTTATACAAACAGCGCACGTGTGACAAGTGTGTGTGTTGTGTTGGTCAACCTGCTTTCTCGTCGTAAAGTTGTATTTACACGGGTGTGTGCGCGCTGCTTGTTGCAGAGAACGGAAAGACGCCTACCATCGCAGAAAATGGAGTCATCAAGAAGAAATCGTGCATCGAGTTCATGTACAACAAAGTCTACCCAGATAGGAGTATCGAAACGTGAGTACACTCAAGTATAATTATCTTTTATTATTAGTATTACAACAAGGAGTAAATCGGCCTTAAGACCGACCGGATATGACTTAAATAACCAGCCCAAAACCCATCCGGTTACATATTTTTCAAGTAAAAGATTAATGGGAACATGAATTGAGATCTTCCTGGGCCTGCGGCCCGGCTGCGCTCGCCCCGCCCCTCTCGCCACCCCGCTATTGTCTGAGACAGACAGTGCACGCGCCCAGGAGGCCCAGGACTGAGCCGCGCTGCCCGGTTCGTCGATTGGATGATTAGCTCAAATTTAGCCGCGCCCTCCACCCCGCCCCGCGCCCGCTGTCCAGGAGCAGCCCTGCCCTGCCTTTTCCATGCGCGGCCACAACCCGCGCGAAACACGCTGTGCGCGCCGTTTTTATATTAAGCGTTGGTAATGCCGAAAAGAAAAAGCGCATCTATTCGAGATTTTGCATAGCAGAAAAGGGGTTGGTCGAAAGAGCTGTTTGTAATGTATACCAACGGACTTGTATGTTCACCGGGGTGGTGGACGGCTACAGCGCCTGGTCTAGCTCAAGCGCCGAGTCCGACCCAGATGAAAATAGGCGAGTAAACAATTAAGTGTCTCATATGTGTCCACTGTGTACACTCACCCAGTGACAATCTCGGTTACCGCGCAGACACCCGCATCCACCTTCACATGTGTCCGTGTTTCTATGTCGCACCCCGGTGTGAGATCAAGGATTATTTTCTGGGCAGCGTCAGCTGGTCAAAACACATAATAGTGAACTGTCCACGACAAGACTGGTTTGGGATATCATTTTTTTCCGCCGTCAGAACGAAGCATTTGAAGGGGAGCTTAGCATGGTTTAATTAGATGAGGTAACAAAGATAAACAAAAGCGTGATCGACGTGGACGAATCGAGGCGGGGGCAGCTCCGGTAGCCAGCCGAGCCGACTGCAGCGCCGCGCATCCAGGACTCGAACTCGTGGTAGCCGAATGTGACGCCGCCGCCCGCCCGAGCGCCCCGAGCGCCGACCCGAAGGCCCCCGGGAGCCCCCCGGTGGCGCCAGCCCAGCCGTGTCCAGCTGGGTCCCCCCCGGCCGGACCGGCCTGGGAGTGCACGGTATACGGTACACGCTCGGGTCGGCAGGTAGTCGGGTTGACACGGCCCAGCGAGAGGATGCGGATGCCATGCGAGGCGTAGGCGCGGCCGTGTGGCAGCAGCACCCGCACCTCCCGTCAGTGTCGCTGTCGCCCTCCTCCCGGCGCGAGCAGCGCGACGATTCGCGGAGCCGGTACCCGTGGGCCCGTGGGGCGCGTCCGTCGCGTAGGGTCATCGAGTGCGCGAGGCTGTCCTCCACCGGGTACCCGTTGGTCGCGCCGCTGACCCCCGCTCCGCGCCGACATCGCGGTCCTCCTCCCGTCGGTGGAGTGCGGGAGCCCCGAGCCCACGCCGGCGCCGGGGCGCCAGCCGTCGTCGTCCGCGTCCGCGCGGGAGGAGCGCGCCGGAGTAGACGTGTAGTGGTCCCGGTGGAGCCTGCGGCCGACGAGCCGTACCCTGAGAATGCTCGAGAAGTACGTGTCGACCTCCTGGTGCTCCACTCTCACGCTGTGTTTTCTATATGTTTGTGGGCAGTCATGCAGTAGTGTGTGTGTGTGTGTGTGTGTGTGTGTGTGTACGTGTTATACGTTTAGGCAGAGATTGTGTTTTTTTTGGAGAGCAAGAGAGAGAGAGAGAGAGAGAGAGAGAGAGAGAGAGAGAGAGAGAGAGA